TGTGAACACGTTATTGTGTTTGTGCTTGTGCTCATATATACATATATATGTATTTACCTCTGGTAAAAATTTCATTAACACCTGTTCATAACTTTTTATATTATCCTGCAAAGAATACAAATAAAGAACCGAACAAACGGAGAGAGCAATATATATGAATATAAGGTCATGGAATACACGGAAATTATCTGTATATACTTATATACCTTGTATACACAGTTTTACACCACCCTGTATTTGTGTGTCTGTATTTGGCCTTTTTTTTTTTTTTTAGCCCTTTAATTACCTACCCTGGCTAACTGCACATGTGTGGGCAAACCGGGGTACATTTGATGCATGTCTTTTCACGGCTTGGGCGTGAAAAGACATTGTAATATTTGATATCTGGTCATGTGATACTACATTTCAAATTTAGGATACATAAATATATCTTCTAAGACATCAGATATTATAAAGTAGTTACATAATTCCCCATACCTCATGCTATGTGGTCTGAAAGGCAGTATTACATGACACTCTTGAGATAAAATGTAGAAGTTCGCTTATATTATTCATTGCATAATTAACAGTTTCTTCAACTGTATAGACTGTACTGACTTGCCAATACAATCTATATCCCAGCCTGATTCTTTCAGTCACAATATCACACTGTCTTCTTGTTTTGCATAAACCATAGATGAATACATCTTGCATAAACCAGTCATAGTGCTTTATGCTACAGCTTTTAGGCCGTTGAGAATGAATCAAGTCAGATAAGTCCTCTTTGAAGGAAGTTTTATGTGTGAAATCCTAGCAAAAGGTGCTCCAAGATCTATATCCACACTTTGCTTGTCACATGCTGATTTTGCTAGGCGGACAGCATGATCATGCCTGTAGATTCCAACATGCGATGGTATCCACACAAAACGCATATCATGGACTCGTTCTTTTGAACGATACACGTTTATCCTTATGCCATTTGCAATATTTCCTGTGAGCCTCGATTTAATAGAAATTCGGTGGCTATGAGCATTCCTGCCAACTCAGTTTGCGTAGTGCTAGTCCAGTCATGAACCCTCCTACAATCTTGGTGCTGCAAAATAGTTTTTATATACGACAAAAGCGCATCCTGCTCTACTCCCAGACTGCAAGGATCCATGTGTAGCATTTATACGCATTGGCCTTAGTTTCAAAATGCGCATTGATAATTGCTAAAGCATACTGCATAAGTACAGCAGGGGGGACACTGTCTTTTTTGGGGGCAGTCGTATAAAATACACTTAGGTCCGACATTTTCCACGGTGGAGCAGAACGTCCATGTAGGGTCTTAGTTATGGATATGTTCAGCTGAGACAAGTGCTTACATGTTACTTGTAGCCATAGGTTTGGGTTTGAATCGATGTTGCCATTCAAAGTTAGCTCCACTATTCTATGTTTTAGTTGTCTTTGGAACTGTACAATAGAGGGGTTCTCTTACTGCTTTGTTGCTAAATGTGGTGTTTATGTATAATATTCTTTCATAGACAGACGGCAAATTAAGTTCTGGTCTCAACAATCCTCGTTGTTTTAGGGGCAACGAGAATAATCCTCATGGCCTCCTATTGTGCAGTTTCTAAACTAGCCAACTCTGATTCCTTGTATAATACTACGTTCAATGCATGATAAGTATTGACCGACCGTATGTAAGACATGTAAAAGAGTCTAACAATATTGACATTAATAACATGGTCTTTGCCGACAAGTGTCCTAAGTGGCTTCAACCGCTCCCACAACCTTTTCTTCAGGTTATGTATGAACTCTGCATCATTAACAATCACCCTGAGGTATTTGTATTGGTGACAGAGATCTAGCTCAACGCTACTAATGTGAAACCTTGGGGTTAAGGGCCTTGGTTTTTTCAGTCGACATGATCAAGCCACACTCTGTAGCCCTTGTTGAAAGTACATCAAGGATGTGTTGCATTCTATCCTCGGTTGAGGATTTAATGAAAATATCATCGACATAGCAAATAATGGAGTGTTTAGTTTAGTTTAGTCCTTTATTTACCACCCTGGCTAACTGCACAGGCGTGGGCAAGCTGTGGTACATTTGATGCATGGTCAAAGCATTATATAATAGTATAGATCTAGATCATAACATCATTACGATCTATAATATATAATTTAAAAGAAAAGAACAATCACAGTAATTTATCTATTCATCTACCAAGCCGGCGTACGGCTTGGGCGTGGAAAGGCATTGTAACATTTGATATTGAGGATACATTAGTATATCTTCCAAGACATCAGGTGATATGCAGTAGTTGCATAGTTCTCCATACCTCATGCTAGGCGGTCTGAAAGGCTGTATTACATGGCACTCTGAGATATAATGTACAAGTGTTCAGTTATATTATTCATTGCATAATTTACATTTAGTTTCTTCATTACAGACTGTACTGACACCAGTACAATCTATATCCCAGACTGATTCTCGCGGTCACAATATCACACTGTCTTGTTCTTGTTTTGTATAAACCATAGATGAATACATCTTGCATAAACCAGTCATAGTGCTTTATGCTACAGCTTTTAGGCCGTTGAGAATTAATCAAGTCAGATAAGTCCTCTTTGAAGGAAGTTTTAATTATGTGTGAAATCCTAGCAAGAGGTACTCCAAGATCTATATCCACACTTTGCTTGTCACATGCTGATTTTGCTAGGCGGTCAGCATGATCATGCCTGGGGATTCCAACATGCGATGGTATCCACACACAACGTATATCACGGCCTCGTTCTTTTACACGATACATATTTATCCTTATGTCATTTGCAATATTTCCTGCACCTTTGTCTATTGTGTTCAAAGCCTGGAGAGCACTCTGTGAGTCGCAGAAAATTCCCTGTGAGCCTTGATTTAATAGAAATTCGGTGGCTATGAGCATTCCTGCCAACTCAGTTTGCGTAGTGCTAGTCCAGTCATGAACCCTCCTACAATCCTGGTGCTGCAAAATGTTTTTATATAAGACAAAAGCACATCCTGTTCTATTCCCAGACTGCAAGGATCAGTGCAGCATTCATACGCATTGGCCTTAGTTTCAAAATGCGCATTGATAATTGCTAAAGCATACTGCATAAGTAAAGCAGGGGGGACACTGTCTTTTTTGAATCGATGTTGCCATTCAAAGTTAGCTCCACTATTCTATGTTTTAGTTGTCTTTGGAACTCTACAATAGAGGGGTTCTCTTATTGCTTTAACGCTAAATGTGGTGTTTATATATAATATTCTTTCATAGACAGACGGCAAATTAAGTTCTGTTCTCATATTCACAATCCTCGTTGTTTTAGGGGCACAGAATAATCCTCATGGCCTCATTTTGTACAATTTCTAAACTAGCTAACTCTGATTCCTTGTATAATAAAGGTGGGTGTTTCATCCCGTAGAGTTACAAGGCTTGGGACCTTCCTCAAAATGACGTCCATGCGGGCCCTCGCTCGCGTCCCGGCCAGGGCAAAAATCGCGATATTTCTGTACTCTAGTCTTTTACGTGTAGCACATGTATTTTCAGTCCGAAATGAACGTAATATGGCTTATTTTGTAGCTGAATAATAGATCTATTGCATGATGCAATAAGGATTTGAAATATTTTCATGTTATTCTTGTAAAAGTCACACACACACACACACACACACACACACACACACACACACACACACACACACACACACTATATATATATATATATATATATATATATATATATATATATATATATATATATAAAGCCCCTTACGTGAAATATTAACAAAAAAGGTATAATTCGAAAAATGAGCATCCGCCATGCAATATAGAAAGATTGTTCTGTTCCAATATGAAAAGAGGCTACATATTTTTTTTTTTTTTTTTTTTTGGGGGGGGGATTTTAGAAAAAAAATAAATAAAATGGTCAATGTATGCCGAGAAACACCCCAACCCAGTGCGACGCTATCGCAACATACTAAAGATTTTGAGAAATTGTTACGTGCTGGGAATTTCCACAATATTTCATGTTTAACAAGAGAACTTTTGGGTATTTATGTTGCATAAAAGAATTAATTACATATGAAACCTCAGTCTCAAGAAGCTCAATAAAACACAATCTGGGGTTGTAATTGGCTTCTTTCTCCGGGCACTGAGGATCTGCAGACCTGCGTTGCTTGAGGTTCCATATGTAAATTCCTTTATGCAACATAAATACCCAAAAGGTCTTCAGTTAAGCCTCAGAAAGAAGGCGGAGAGCATGCTTGCAAGATCAAACCCAGTGGCATCCCCTGACTTCCTCATATTGCCTCCATGTATCGTTTCCCAGGCGATTAGCAAATACTTTGGAAAAACAGTGAAAATGTGTGTGTGTGTATGCAGGTATGGATGTATGTACACCCACTGACACACACACACACACACACACACACACACACACACACACACACACACACACACACAATATATATATATATATATATATATATAGTGGTGTGTGCGTGTGTGTGTGATAGATAGATAGATAGATAGATAGATAGATAGATAGATAGATAGATATGAATATATATATATACATATATATAATGTATATATATATATATATATACATATATATATATAATATATATATATATACATTAATATATGTGTGTGTGTACATATATATATATATATATATATATATATATATATATATATATATGGGGGGGGGGTGACATATTCATATAGTAGCAAATTTGTACGCCACTGGTCCCAAGACTCCTATTCAGTGGCCTCCGACCACTATGAAATGAGCTCCCCGTTCATGTCTTTCATCTTTCCAAATTCAGTTTTTACTTATGAATATTGTAATGGTGTCAATAAGTATAGGACAGAAACATTTTATAAAAAGAGTCTAATTCATTGATATGTGATATGATATAATTAAACATCATAATTTTCATATTGCTCTTGGCCCCCAGAAAGTACCCCATGGCTCCTAGACCTTGAACACCTGATATATACTATCAACGAGATTCATCAATAAGATGGAAAAATATTGCAAGGAGACCTACCCGTGGCGGTGGTTCTCTCCTGCGGAGGGAACCAATCGGCGGCGAGGAGGGGCGGGGCAGCCAGCATGATGGTGCCAGATGTACCCACGAGGAATGCGCACACATGACATAGCCTGCAATTTGCAACCAGCAGAAAATGTGAACTACATTTGTCGTAATGAACAAGGTTCACCATGAGTTTCTCTGATTAAATGTTTTTCACACTGCAAAACAGAATTTATTCAGTGTACAGTGAATCTAGTTTGGAGATTTTTTCAAGGAGGGGAACGAGCGCCAAAGAAATAATCATTACACAAGCATTTTCTCTGATTATGTTTCGAATACTCTTGGCGATGAGTGGAATATGCATCGCTCTTACCAATTTTTATCCCAATCCTTGAATTTTGGACCGAGTCCGAAGGGGATGGCAGCAAAGTTCCTGATATAAGTTTTATATACATAGTATATGATCCACTTTAGTTCATGATTCTATTTATATTCATAAATAATGCATGCTAAAATTATAAGTAAAAATATATAGGTGTGTGTGTGCATACGACCATGTGCTATGTGTTTATATGTGATTCCAAGACACGATAACATCACAACCAAATAGTAAAATTAGTAGTATTAGGGCCTTGAAATCACATAGCTAGGCCCTTCTGCTCAGGTACTAGCATCTCCAAATACTCTTTTCGAGAGAGTTTATGACCCCTCCTGTCAGACCAATCCGTGACTTCCTGGTCTGACAGCCCAGAGTTATGAACTACACTGCCAAGGTATGTAAAGTTCTATGTGACTTCAGTGTCCTCACTGAAAATACGAAGCAAACGAACAGGTTCTCCTAGTATGTCCCAAAAATCCTGAGGCCGGATTCTTAATAGAGCCCTAAAGTTAAGGAGCGCTGGAGGCCTGAACCGTCCTGCGGCGACGTAAGTTGGACTTAGCTTTTTATGTACAAACATTTTTTAAGGCACCTTTTCCCTGCCTTAAATCCCGCAGCACCATAAATCACATAGGGCGTCGGGTCTTCAGTGGCCAATTACAGCTGCTGTTTCAGGCGGCCTCTAGGGCATTTTGACCAATCACAAGCCGTAAAGGCCAATCAGCTGATTTTGTAAATACAACGCTGTGAGCGTTGTGTGTCCAGCCCGTGGCATGATAAAACTTTTTAAACCAATATATTCCAGATTAAGTAACACATAAATGTGCAAGATTCCTAATAAAGAGGAAACAATAATGCAAATACTAACATTAACAATAACAATAAAAAATAAATAAATAAATTTATTACATCTTAGGTGAAGATAGCAGTTTACAGATACAACACCTAACCTAACCTATCGGGAAAAGCAAACCAGTTATATTAAAATATTATACTTGTTGCCCTCTTTAGTAGTCCACGACTGGTTCATGTACACCTAATGACATTTTAAGAGTAAAATACAATTTGTAATGTACTAATTGTTCTAGGGCTGAAAAAATGTCATTTACGATTCGCTGTAACTCACTAAAGCTGCTCTCCCCCTGCCTTGAACTAAGGCGCCTTAACTCGCACCAATATGGCGAGCCCCTTGTTCTGTGTATAGGCCGAATGATCGCTCAGCTGTAAGTTACGGCGCCTTAAGGAGATATAGCGCCTTAGCGTGTTTGAGAATGCGGCCCCTGGATCTTGGTCTTGGTCCAAGAGACCTCTAGACCCAGGAGATCCGCTTCACTGCTAAAAAATCTAGAGCCACCACTAGGGATTCAAACAATTACATTGTCAGCAAAGTCAAGGTCTGTAACCTAATCAGAGTTGCTCCACAATGACTTTGGACAGTAGCTCTGCCCAAAAACTTTGTAAATGTTGAAAATTGTTGGCACAAGGACACAGTCTTGCCCAATCCTGAACTAACAGGAAAGCAGCTCGACTGTCCCCCCACCCTACCAGAACTAACAGCAGTTTCAGTACCAATATACAGACTTACTTGATCTCTGGAATTCCTCTTAACCTCAGGATTTCCCAGTGATTCCCAATGTGCCATATATAATACAATGAGGTCAATGTAAGTTGCAAGCAACCCACACCTACAATCACAATAGCACTCTACATTGACCCAAAGCACCAGGATACGATCTATTATGGACTTAACAAGAGTGGAACCAGATTGCTCTGGTCTCTGATGCCTCAGCGAAGGTCATTTGATACATCTCAGAAAGATGTGAGCAAGAACCTTGCCTGGTATAGTGAGCAGTGTAATGCCTCAGTGATTGCTGCAGTCCCATCAATCCCCTTTTCCCTTCCACAGAGGGATGCCCACATTCCCCCAACAGGTCAAGGGGAATGGTACCACACTACCAGATAGCAGCTAGGACAGTATGCAAACACCACGCCATAGGTTCAACACCAGTCTTTAACAGTTTAACTGGGGTGCAGTAGATACCCACTACTTTACCACTCTTCAGAGATTGCCATAGGTTCACCACCAGGCTTTAACAGTTCAGCTGGGATGCCGCAGATACCCGCTGCTTTACCACTCTTCAGCTCGGAGATCGCCCCCTTAACTTCAGTTAGAGAGGGTGGATCCTCCCTGATGGATGGGTACAGCAAAGGGATCTCGACACTACCCACATCCAAGTTAACTGTTGGTGGAACAACCTGGTACAACTGCCCAAAGTATTCAGCAATCCCACCCAACAAAGTCAAGGTCAGGTGCGGGTCTGGCCTCTCACTCGGTGGACTGCAGTCACTTTTAAGGAGGGCTTGGAGTTCAGCTTTCTCAGGGCTTGTTAGGCAGGGCGAAGGTTATTTACTAAGAAATGGCTTTTGAACTCCTCTGTAAGACTCCTGATAAATTATTCCTTGGCCTTTCTCAGCAATGATCAAGTTCTGCGCACCTGGGAACGATGCAAATCGCGATCCCGTCAGATGAGCCCTTCAAGAAGTTTCTGTGGCTTCCGTTTTCTCCTGTGAGATAAATTTGTCTTGCTATTGGGCTTGATCACTCGATTCATGAGCTGCATGAAGCGTTTCCTGCTTGAAGGTGTCCTATAGAAGTATAGTGAGGGGCGGCTGCCTGCAGGCCCCATAATCCACCTGAGGGGCTCCCGTGGGCTTTGCCCCATAAGCCTCATGCTAGGGTGGCGACCAATGGGACGGATAGCCTCATTTCCCAGCCTGAGTGCCAGTGTTACCAACCAGAAGGACCCTAAGCCTGCCTTACTTGCTTCGCTGACAGTTGGGTTCTCTTGAGGAGGCGGACTGGCAAGGCCCGCCTCCCACAGCCACCCATTAACCCCAGGGGCAACGAGGCCGGAGTTTGTACGAAGCCATGGCGTGTCCACACACTGGTGGGTCATGACTCTGTACCCTTAGGGCCTCATGCTGCTCCAAGGGCCTTTACACTTCAGCCTAGGACCGCAAGGTGTCTTGTTTCCATGGGTGGCCACAAGGAGGCATTGCAGAAGTCTTGATGATGGAGAGGCTATGCACTGGCAAGGGAGGCTTATGCATAGCTGCTCCCTTTTTCGCACCAGGATAGCCAGCGGTGGCATCTACAAACGAGAAGGCATTCAAAGCACTTAACACTAAACCACCATCGATTCAAATATCCCTGCGCATGAAGCACCCACCCATGTGTGTGTGTGTGTGTGTGTGTGTGTGTGTGTGTGTGTGTGTGTGTGTGTGTGTGTGTGTGTGTGTGTGTGTGTGTGTGAGTACGCGCGCGCGCGCATCTACGCACTTAAGTAGCACATACATCAACAACTACGCAATACATGCCATATACATATATTCACGTGTGTGAGTTCATATATGTACATCTGTGTTGTTAGACTTACGCCGTGAAGATAGCAGGAGGGGCGGGGATACACCTGAGCAAGGTTCCGACGCTCATCATAGTAGCGCAGGTGACTACACTCACGCGAAGCCCCCGGGTGTTCATGAGCCAGCACATGGGAGCCACAAATATCAGGAAGGTAATCGGGCCCCAGTTGGCCATCATGGCCACCGTACTGGAGCCCCAGCCTGGGTAAGCAGCCCCCATGCTCGCGCCGATGGGACCCCACGTGTTCCACTGCTGGCCCTGCTCACGCGTGGCGTTCGGCGGGAGACAGGTGTGAAATGGAGAGGCAATCAGTCACTGTCTGACAGGAGACCGAGCTTCCGGGAATATAGACAAGGGGGAGCGGGTAGAGGGAGAGAGTAAGCGAGAGAGAGAGAGAGAGATGGGGGGTGGGGGGAGACGCACACACACAGAAAGAGAGAGAGGGAAAGCAAACGAGAGTCAGACACAGAGAGAGCAAAAGAGAAAAGAGAAAGAGAGGGAGAAAGCAACAGAAAGCAAGAAAGAGAGAGAGAAAGCAAAGGAGAGAGGAAGAGAGAGAGAGGAGGGGAAAGAGAGAAAGCAAAAGAGTGAGGGAGGGGGAGAGGGAGAGAGAGAGAGAGAGAGAGAGAGAGAGAGAGAGAGAGAGAGAGAGAGAGAGAGAGAGAGAGAGAGAGAGAGAGAGAGAGGAGGGGAAAGAGAGAAAGCAAAAGAGTGAGGGAGGGGAGAGGGAGAGAAAGAGAGAGAGAGAGAGAGAAAGAGAGAGAGAGAGAGAGAGAGAGAGAGAGAGAGAGAGAGAGAGAGAGAGAGAGAGAGAGAGAGAGAGAGAGAGAGAGAGAGAGAGAGAGAGAGAGAGAGGGCGGGGAGAATGAGAATAAGAGGGGGCCGGAAGAAAATTGATAATCGTATATTACTTAATCTTGATTCCATACAACACTGCTACTAGAAAAAAAACTTAAACTACGCAACAGCAAAATTACCAACATGCACAAGACAATCACCGCCTGTAGTACACAATCTCCCATTTATTCTTACTGTCTCACTATTTCCACCTTCCTACACAAGATAATAAAATCAATACATTAGCCAACTCAGTGTCAAAGGAGAGGGGGCTTAGCGAGGGCTCGCAGGGGTGCAAGCGAAGTCCTACCTGGAAACCCGTTAACATCGCGAAGACCAAAAGAATCCAAAAACGTCGGCGGTAAGTTTTTGTGATGACTTCATGTTCTTCGCCTGTCCCGGAGGTCGCCAACTCGATGTTGGTGTTAACCGAAGACATGTCACGTTCCTTTTCTGCGGATATGATAACATGTAATAATAACACTAAAAGTGAGCTCTGTAACTCGAGATTTTTCTGATTAACAATCCCTGTTCCCTAGTTCACGGTCGCAGAAACAATGCCCCAGAAAGGGCGAACTAGTTTTTGTCCTCAGTTACTAAGCGAGGGAATAAAAGTTATGCAAAAATACTGTACACACTTTGATAAGGTATATTGTTTTCATTATCATTAATACTGATTTTTGACTGTCTTCTGATGCGACTGTAGGGGGGAGGGGGTACGATTTGAAATAGTTGGGACTCGTCTAAACCGCACGTTCTCTCTTATGTAAGGGAGAACTTCTAGGATAAACTGAAGTAAATCAGTATTTTTTTCATATAGTGCGAAATTGCCTATGGTTTGCAGTGCGCATTTGTGGCGATTTGTAAAAAAAAAGAAAAAAAAAATTGTTCCTCTATACAGGCTTATTCAGATAATCCTGTATGTACTGACGTGTACAAACATGATTCATTGACTCACTGCCATTAATTTTAATCTTATAGCGATCATAAGTACTGTTGTCGTATATGCCGCGAATAATGTAGAACAATTTGTTCCTTTGGCATCAAATGTCATTAATCTAATCGTTTGCATCGCTCCACATCGTACTATGTTGCTCCTTGCATGTCTCATCAAGAACATAATATTCGCAGTATTTTTTTCCATCATTAGCAGACGACTTATTTCAAAACAAAATCGCATAAGTTTATTTATTGATTTTGGAAGAAGCAGGTAAGCATTGTAATGAATGATGTTTAGCAGCTTTTAATATTTACGCCACAACATAATCGAATTCCAAGAATACATTCTTACGCAATGGTAGTCACTTACGAAATAGAGAGAGAGAGAGAGAGAGAGAGAGAGAGAGAGAGAGAGAGAGAGAGAGAGAGAGAGAGAGAGAGAGAGAGAGAGAGAGAGAGAGAGAGAGACTGACATAACGAAAGAAAGGAAGAAATGGAGAGAAGGGGAAGGGATTGAGAAGGAGAGAGAGGGAGGAGGGAGGAAAGGATAAGGAGAGCGAGAGAGAGAGAGATAGACAGGCAGACAGACAGACAGAAAGAGAGATATGGAGAGCGGGAGAGAGAACAGAGAGAGTGGAGGAGGGAAAATGACAGCAGGAGAGGGGGAGAGGGGGGGTGAAGGAGAGCGAGAGAGAAGGGGAGAGGGAAGAAGAGAGAGAGGGGGGAGAGGGAGGAAGCATGAGAGAGAGATAGGGGAGGGAGGGAGGGAGAGAGAGAGAGTGACAGAGAGGAGGGAAGGGGAAAGAAGAGAAGAGAGAGGGGAGGGAGGAAGGGAGGAGAAGAGAGAAAGAGGGGGGGGTGAGGAAGGGAGAAGGAGAGAGAGAGAGAAAAGAAGGGGGAAGGGAGGGAGGGAGAAGTAAAAGCGACACAGAGAGAGGGGGAGGGAGAAAGGGGAAAGAAGAGAGAGAGGGGGAGGGAAGAAGGGAGAAGAGAGAGAAGGGATGAGGAAGGTGAAGGAAGAGAGAGAAGAAGGGGGTGAGGAAGGGAGAAGGAGAGAGAGAGAGAGAGAGAGAGAGAGAAGGGAGAGGGTGGGAGGGAGAAGGATAGAGAGAGAGGGGGGGGCGGAGGGGAGAAGAGCGAGAGGAGAGGAGGGAGAGAGAGAGAGAGAGAGAGAGAGAGAGAGAGAGAGAGAGAGAGAGAGAGAGAGAGAGAGAGAGAGAGAGAGAGAGAGAGAGAGAGAGAGAGAGAGAGAGAGAGAGAGAGAGAGAGAGAGAGAGAGAGAGAGAGAGAGAGAGAGAAAGCGAATGAGAGGTAGGGAGGGAGAAGAAAAAAGTGACAGAGAGAGAGGGGGAGGGAAGGGAGGAGAAGAACAGAGAGAGAGAGAGGGGGGGGAGAGGGGGGGAGGGAGGAGAAAGAAGGGGGGAGGAGATAGAAAGGGGAGGAAGGGAGGGAGAAGAACGAGTGAAAGAGAGAGTACATTTATTCACAGATTTCTGTCCTATGACACATGAACAAGCGTAATAATGTTTAGATCAATAATCATCGAGCTATAAACCTAACAGACAACATTTATTAGAATCGCTGTTAGAAGATACTAGAAGTTGAATAAAATCCCCCAACGATAATCTTTGTGCATTCAGTTGATAAATCACACACTTAAACAATACTAATATACTCCAGTACTATGCTGATCAAACGGAATTATCGCACACGTTCCAGTGATTCCGTAGTATATATGTACAATATAATAACGTACAAAAATCACATGATATAGAGAGACCATCCCTTACAACGACACCCTGTATGATGCATCACCTTGAGCATTTGTTTCGCCGATATTTAAACCGGTTCATGCTGGTTATTTTAAAATGAGAAATCTTGGAGACGACACAGCATTCCTCGCGATGAGTGAAGATTTGGCGTCAAGCGGCGGCCGAACCAAGGTCTAGAAAAGTACTTATCTGGACTTTGGTTGGATGTGAAGCAGAGTAAGCGAACCGATCGCTGCCCACTCCTACGACTGCAATCGGCGCCTACGTGACCAAGGGAGTCATCGGGGTCGTGCCACCAAGAATGAGGCGAATCGCAAGGTTTATATCGTAAGATTACAGTAATTCGTAAACACTTTGCGATATTTCTGATCACTTATTAACTTCAGCGAATCGTTACGCCAAATTTCGCAATAACCATAATCGTTTTCATGTGCGGCGCATCGCCCTGGTATCGTAACAGTCGTGCCCGCGGTAGTCCACCGAGGTTTCCCGCTTCGACACTCATATATATATATATATATATATATATATATATATATATATATATATATTTTGCCTTTCTATAAAGTTTAGTATCCGCAGTCGAAAGAAAGAAGCATTAAAATAAAGCTGGCCTGACGTTCAGAAGTGTGTTCAAGGAACCTGAGTGTCCATCACGATGAGCAAGTTTCTACGCAGTCGAAAGAAAGAAGCATTAAAATAAAGCTGGCCTAACGTTCAGAAGTGTGTTCGAGGGACCTTGGTGTCCATCACGATGAGCAAGTGTTAGGTAAAAAGCGGAAATGTTATGTTATGGAAAATCTCTCTTGGGGCGTCGTCTGTAGCGTCCTTAACTCATAATACCGTATTTAGTTTAATCCTAGTCCACTGTGTTCGTTCCGTGAAGACGATATTCTCCGCTGCCAGACGTGCGACAACGGCACGGCAATAATGTTCAGTGAAAACTGTCGTACTCATTATTTTATCAATTATCGCGCGTGGAATTCGCTCTATTGGGAGATTTCACGTTTTTTTCGTTTTTTCTTTTTTAGGGTGATTCTTACAGGAATATATTGTGTGTAGTTGGTACATCGAATTCAATGGAAATTTAATAGCCACACACACAAAAAAAAGAGAAACTTTCAAGGACAATATATGTAATAGTTTACACATTTGGATAATTAAAGGGAAGGTTAATGGTTAAAAAATGAAATGATCTTGACATCTAAGGTCATACAGCACTATTTGAAGGTATATTAAAGGAGGGGTGAAGGGTGATAGTTGCTATGCGTCACCTATCTAGAGTAATCTTGAAAGGGTAAAGATGGGCAAAGGAGTTGCTGCATGAATGGGCTTTGGTGGGTCTAGGTAAGGGAGCCAGAAGGAGGATGGAGGGAGGGGGATTGTACGTGTAGTTGGAGTTGAAGGGGATGGGTTGTGTTGGGAGGGAGTAGGAGGGAGGGATGTAGGGGGAATATGAGTGGGAAGTGGAGGGATATCGGTAGTAGGCGGAATTGAGGGGTTGGGTTGTATTGAGAGGAAGTAGGAGAAGGGGTGCAGGGGGGATATGCGTAGGAGTAGGATGGATATCAGTAGTATCAGGAGGATGGATATCGGCAGACACCGAGTGTGGAGGGAGCATGAGTTGTGGAATTTTTTATCAAGCATATAGCTATGGATGTCTTCCATAGTTTTTGCAGTGGAGTTGGTTGGAGAGTTTTGTGAGACAAATGTTTTCTTGTGAGGGTGGGGGGGAAGAGGGAACTGGTGTCTGAGGAATAAAGGCAAAGGCACATGGAGGTGAGTGTGCGGTAGGGGAAGAGGGGGGGGGTACGTTTAGTCTGTCTACTGCGGGTAATGCGGGGAGGGAGAGGGGATGGTGTTGTGGCTGTAGTTGAGATTGGAGCTGTGGTTGAGATTGGGGTGTCTGGATTTAGAGTGGCAAAAGAATTTGACTGGGGGAGGTAGAATGTAGAAGTGGAAGTGGGGAAGTTAATGGTTAAAAGCGAAATTAATGTGCTAGACATCTAAGGTCATATAGCACTATAGGAAGGTATAGTAAAGGGTGATCAGGGAATGGGTTATGGTGGTTTAGGTAAAGGGATTAGATCAGGTGAAGGATATTTATGCGTCTGAGGAAGGAGAACAGGTTGTCAAGCCAGGTGTGGGATTCTGTAAGGATGTCTGATATGTTGGGAGGTCGGTGAAGGGAGGATAGGTAGGGGAAAGCAGAGGTACGTGCTGTATTAAAGCGTGGACAGAACAACAGAATGTGTGGAACTGAAAGAGGGACATTACATAGGGGACATAGGGGCGGGTCAGAGCGTGACATTAGATGGGCGTGCGTTAGGCCGGTGTGGCCAACACGTAAGTGTCTCCCAACGTCTGTTCCGGTGAAATGGAGCTGACCAAGAGGAGATTGATGGTTTTAGAGCATGTAATATATTATTGTGGAGGCTTGACCAGAAAGATTGCCATCGGGTATACAGGAAGGTTTTAAAGTGGGGGTAATAATCCGTGTCTGGAATATATGAGAAGCGTGGTTGGTGTGATGTGGACATATCAGCATAGCATGCTAGAGCATCTGCTTGTTCATTGCCAGGGATTCCAACATGGCTTGGCACCCAGCACAATCTGACAGATTTATGGTGTGTGGACAAGTTGAACAACCAGTTCTGGATCTTACAGACAAGGGTGTTGGTCGAGTGCATAGACTTTATGAGGGTTTATGAGTTACGGGAGTCAGTAAAAATAGTGAAAGAGGAAGAAAGGAGTGAGCATATGCGTTTTAAGGAAAAAAGGAGTGCATACAGTTATGTAGCAAGGACACTAGATTCAGGAGAGAGGGTGTATTTAAAAGTGCAATTTGGGAAGGTTACTGCAAATCCAGCTCCTGAGATGGATTTAGAACCGTCAGTGTAAACATGAATGCTAGAGGAATGAATGGAGACATGGTCAAGGAAATGAGTGAGAAGAGGTGGGATGTCTGATTTTGGTGGGTCAGGGAAAACAGAGGAGCAAATATGGGGGTAAGGTATAAGCCATGGAGGAATGGAATGGATAAAATATGGAGGAGGTAGGAGGTGGGGAAAGGGGGAATGGGAGAGGAGGGTATCCATGCATACAGAGAAAGGAGTAGGTAAACGTGGAGAAGAGGTAAAGGTAGGAAGCAGGGATTGTGGGATAGTTAGTTTGGTAGGGGAAAGGTGGTGAAATCCATAGACTGGAGAGAAGCGGAAGGCGCTCAACTGGAGAGAAGCGGAAGGCGCCTAGGGCTAAGCGGAGAGCGCTGTGGTGGATTGTATCAAGATGAGCAAGAAGGGAGGTTGAGGCAGAGGAGTAGATATGGCATCCATAATCTAGAGTGAAGTGGATCAAGTTAACATGAAGATGGAGGGGAGTTTTGCGATCTGAGCCCCAGGATATGTGGGAAAGAGTTTGTAAGATTTGGAGGTGGCTTTGAGTTTTCTTTAAAGTACAAGATATGGTCTCGCCAGGACAATTTGGAGTCAAATATAACGCCTAGAAATTTGCCAGAAGAACGGTATTGCAGTGGAGCATTAAATAAGAAGAGTGGGTGTTGGGGACCTATACATGAGCAAGAGAAAAGGATGGAGAAAGACTTTGAGGTAGAGAAGTGAAAGCCATGGTTAGTGGCCCAAATATACGAGTAGGAGGGGTATGGATATTGGCAGTCACTTCGAGTGTGGAAGAAGCATGAGTTGTGGAACTTTATGTCTCAAGTACATACCTTTGAATACCGTCCATAGTTTCTGCAGTGGAGTTGACAGGAGAGTTTTATGAGACAAATGTTTTCTTGTGAGGGGGGGGGGGGGAGGGAACTGGTGTCTGAGGAATAAAGGCAAAGGTAGGTGGAGGTGAGTGTGCGGTAGGGGAAGAACATTTAATATGTATGCTGTGGGTAGTGCGGGGAGGGAGATGGGACGGTGTTGAGGCTGTAGTTGGGATTGGAGTGTCTGGATTTATAGAGTGGCAAAAGAATTTGTCTGGGGGAGGTAGAATGTAGAAGTGGAAGTTGGGAAGTAAGTAGATAGAGGGTAGGGTGTAGGAACATCTTGGGATGGAGGGGGAGGGGTAGAGCGAGCGACATTACTAGAGTAGGGAGTATGAGAGAAACCTTGTCGATGTGCTTCCTGTTTGGCTTCACCTAAATTGAGACCATTTTTGTATCTGAGAGTTGCTATCTCAGATTCAAACTTGTAAGTGGGACAGCCTCTATAAAATACATTGTGGGGGCCACCGCAGTTGGCACATGTGCGTGTTTGTGCAGAGTAGTTTGATCGGTTATGGCCGGGTTGGGCACACAATGGGCATCGGGCTGTGGAAGTGTTTGGCAGGATGGTCGAACAGGGAGTGATTGTCCTCCAATGTAGATACAGAAGGGAAGGTCATATGTGCGGAAAGTAATTTTGGAAATGATGGGTTTCTTTCGATTACCTTTAGGAGGAATGGAGTAGCATGGATTGATATCACATCACGGTCTTTGAGGCAACCGAGTGAGTATTCTCCACAATCTGACCAATCGATATCCATAGGGCAGTTTGCTGGGGAGATAGAGACAGTTCCGGTACAAGTGTTAAGAGTTGGGTGAGGTTCTGCAGGGATGGGGTTGCCAGAGAGATCAGTTAGATTCGATAATGCTATAACTTGGGTTTCAGATGTAACTGTAACGAGACGGGAACGATCGGGTCGGGTACGGAAGGGAATTTGCCCGCTAGCTGTAGAGGGATCACGAAAAATCGGTTCCATTTAGCTGGGCTAAATAGAGTATTTAAGATACTTGTAGGGGTGGTGGTGGTAGAAGGACGGGGACGTGTGGAAGAGGGAGTATTGTTGAGGGGGTAGTATTACGGAGATGGAGAATAAGGCTGTAAGGTAGTAATAAGGGAGGATGGGATGATTGAGGGAGAAGTAAAAGGTTGATAGAGAGAGAGGGGGAAGGAGGAAAGGGAAAGAAGAGAGGGAGAGGGGGGAGGGAGGAAGGGAGAAGAAGAAGAAGAGAGAGAGAGAGAAACCTTACAATTCGCATGCAGACACTGCATTGTTAAAATATTTCTCTTACAACTGATATTAAATTTTCATAAATTGGAGAAGAGGCGATTGTTATAGAAGTTGTAGTAAGTCACTTCCGATGTTATTTGATCTTCATATAATAATTACGAGGCACAAGTAGGCCTGCAGACAAGGGAAACATGTTTATTGATGAAATATTTTAATTTTTCATGATGACAAGGTTATATTTGTGGTAGAAAAGTGTATATCAAAACTGCTCTAACTATAATACCTTTCCTTTTACAACATTCACCAATCAATATCCATCGCGCGGTTGCCTCAGTTCCCTTATCAGTAGGCCTATTCATAAGGGAAACATGTTTATTTAAGAAATGTTACATTTTTCCTTGATGACATGGTTATATTTGTAATAGTATAATGGTAATACAACTGCTCTAACAGCTATAAACCTATCAGTCTTACAATGACACTCAAGTACAAAAATGACTTTCACCAATTAATATTCATCGCGCAAAATGCTCGGACAGCTCTCTGCAGCGTTGAATCGTGTTAGACGAGGTAAACAAGTTTTCTCAAGGATACTTTTCGCGAGGTCTATAGAAAAGTATACTTGCAAATTTTGTAGTAAAATAATTTAGGAAAACTCAGCACGTAATTCATCTTTAAAACGCTGGATTTTATTATTTTTCGTTTTTTATATTCATTAGTAGATGTTATTTCCCTTAACAGAATATTCTATTAGTTGTGTTCATATAAACAATTTAATCTTGAGAATGTAAATTAAGTAGGAAAATTCTAAGACGATCGATGTTATTTCCGAAAATAACTCGTGACGTAACAGAACATGATTGGTGGGATCAACTTGTCCCTTCTGTGAATGTGCAGGATTAAAAATTGAGCTTAAAATTAAAGCCTGGTCCAGAGGTGCATCAAAAGTAGATCCTGGACGCTGCCAATGCGCATGCGCATTAGAGACCTGGATTTAACTTAAATACTGGATTAACTTTTATGGCACGTACAGGAGACGCGCTTGACTAATACATCACGAAAACTGGCAAGTTAATGTGACGCCAGTAATTAATGTTAGGATGTCCTGTACATTGTAAAACATATGTTAGAAGCCGAAGTGAACATTTACCATTATAAGACTAAAATCATCCATAATAACTCCCGAGGTTTTCCTATTAATTCCCGCAGTTGTTATTTGATGGGGTTGCCACAACTTCGGCGAACTGACTATCTCTTCTGTCATATTCTTCCTCACCAGGTGTTGACGCTGACAGAATATACAATAGGTACATCCATGGCTTTATAAATGGCCTGTTAGAAAGAGAGAAACAGCAAAGAAGGGGCGAGAGAGAGAGAGAGAGAGAGGGGGGGGAGGGAGGGGGGGAGGGAGAGAGAGAGAGAGAGAGAATGTAACAAGAGCACTAGACAGCCGGACATATCCAAACACAGAAATACTACAAAAGGAAAACTAAATGAGGTCGATGCGACTGCATAGCGGAAGATAACATTGCAAGGCCAGTGTTTTGATCGGAAAATGTTAATTTTTAAGCAAGCTACGTTGTAATTGATGATATTAAGAAAAATAAATTCCCGCAGAGGCATGATAAGTTAATCAGCTTTATACAAAAATGTGTGGTACCACAACACGGGCTCTGACAGTGCCAGGCACGTTTTTGTCTTCCGTAACAGTTTTTCCACTGCATGTTGTAATTTGCTTGACCTATTCTTGTTACAGTTTATTTGTAACGGTTATAATGTGTGAAAGTATATTTCTTACAAATGATTGAATCATATATATGGTAACAGAGGTAGTACGCTTCATAGACCATGAAGTAGATCCTCATGAAGTTCAAAGTACGGTTTTGCCAGTGGCCCGATTAGCCAGACTGTTAGAGTCAACCTGGACGGGACATAACAAAGTGAGACAATAGAAGGAAAATAAGATTCATACCCGTCGGACATCTGGCGGAAATTCATTGCACCCGAACAAACTGCAGAGGACGAAGAATTTGTGGTCCTCTCCTGTGTTAACTCCTTTGCGCAGATCACCTTCCTCACTTGGTGGCGCAGGTTTCTGAGGAGATCTGAGATGAGGTTAATGAGACGGTGCTTTGGGAAGGGAAAAGGCAAATGTATGTTCTCTGAATGTACTCGCTCAGAATTCTCTTTATTTCGGTGTCAGATACGATGTCAACTTGTAACAAATGGTAGAAAAAGTGAGCGTGGGTGTGTGCGCGTGTTTATACAAATGAGTGTGAGATAACTAGATAGAATGGTAAACACGCATACACACAAACACACACACATACACATATAGATAAACAGGTAGATATAATGAGAGTCGCCATATCTCTATTGTTATCCTACAGTATCACATATGTCCATCCAATATCATGCGTCAGCCACACTGACACCGAATCGATTTTTTTTCAATTGATCATTTCCACCAATTTTCTCAAGGTTACACGATTACTCACCTAACCAACCATACAAAAAATGCCACCATAAAATGCCTTTGGCCCATGCCCATTAGAATTACATATAAGTGAAGATATATCTTTCCGAAACTGTAAGATTGAAGACCAGCCTTTCACAACAGCTGTCCTCATGGGATCTAACGACCTAACGTTAAAACCTAGCATCTTTTTACTACTATTATTATAATGTGAACTTCACTCCATAGAAATCATAAATAAATTTAGGAATAAATATAAATGAATAAACATTTCCTTGGCCCCAAACCGCACTGATAGCTAGAGCAAGCGTCCACCGTTATTCTGATTACAAACTTTAATCACAAAACGGTCTGAGAGAGAGAATCAGTATCTGCGAGATCTTAAAAGCCTTTCGTCATAAGCTGGAATCACAGGCAGACAAGATACAATTATATATGATGATAATCGAAACAGTAATGGCACTCGTCCTACTGCTACTACAACCACTACTAATGATGTTATTGTTATCACCAATGTTATCAAGTTATTATCATTATTATTATTATTATTATCATTATTGTCATCATCACCATCATCACATTATTATCATCATTATAATGATTGTTATTATTAGCATTATTATTACTGTCATCATTGTTATCATTATCATTATTATTGTTATTATTAGCATTATTGTCATTATGATTATTGCTATTATATTCATCCTTATCATTATTATTATTGTTATTATTATTATATCATTATTATTAACATTATCATTCTTATCACCATCATCTCATTATCATCATCATCAGAGTGATTGTCTAGTATCATTATTATCATTAGTATTATCATCAGTGGTATTGTTACTATTAGTATTATCATTGTTATTATTAGTATCATTACTATAATTTTCCTTATCATGATTATTATCATCATTATTATTATCATTATCATCATTATTATCATTATCATTTTCATTATTTCAATTATTATTATTACTATTATTGTTATTATTATTATTATTATTATTATTATTATTATTATTATTATTATTATATTATTATTAATTATTATTATTTATTATTATTATTATTATTATTATTATTATTATTATTATTATTATTATTATTATTATTATTACTATTATCATTATTATCATTATCATTCTTAATATCATCATGCTTGTTGTTATTGTTAATATCATTACTAGTTCTATCATTATCATCATCATCATTCATTTATTGTATTTATTATTATTATTATTATTACTATTATGATAATGATGGTTAATTTTATTATCATTATCTTTATCATTATTATCATCATTCTATTTTTATTATTATCACTATCATTGTTGTTGTTATTGTTTTCGTTGCTGCTGCTATTATCATACTTATCATTACTATTATATATGATTATCACTATCCTTATCATTGTTGCTAGTGCTATCATTCTTATGATTGTTAATGTTATTATCATTATCATCGTTATTATTTTTATTATCATTACTACTACTACTACTATCATTGTAATCAATATTATTGCTATTGATATCATTATTTTCACCATTAACATTATTATAGTAATAATATGTCATCTTTATTTTACTACTATTACTATCGCTATCATTGTTATTTTCATTATCATTATCATTAGCATCATTAGCATTATCACTAGTATCATTATCATCAATACCATCATCAGTATCATCATTATCATTATATCGGCATAAATTATTCTTGAACTTAAAGGTAAATATTCAAATGTGGTCCTTTTTTACGCTCGGAGCCCCTGTCACGCTACCCGGTCCAGTATCAGCTGATTCGCCTCATGCCGCGTTCGTCCGTAGCCCTGCCTTCATTTCAGGGGTTTGCGAAATATCAAGAGAGCAATTGCCGAATTCGGATGCCTTTCCGGAATCAGTCGCGGAATTTTGTGAAAACGATTTATCTCCGAGGTCGTTCATGTGCGTTGATTCGATGGGTTTGATGGACGTGTCGAGCAACAAGCGCAACACAGACCAGCGTTAACGGGGCTGTGAGGAGACTGATAATGAACGTCTCAGTTCAGCGGAAATTCCTTGGCGTTGTAATGCAACCAAACCGGTCATGACTGCACAGACATTTTGTATGCATGTATGTATATATACACACCGTGTATACATATGTATGTGCACACACACACACACACACACACACACACACACACACACACACACACACACGCACACGCACACGCACACACATACGCACACATACGCACACACACACATATATTGTAGTGACTAGAAAACAACTATCAACTATCGTATCCCAGATTTAGCGAAACAAAGGCCGAGGATATACGGCATAGAAAGTAGGCGCGGTTGTCAGCTGGTTTGGCGCGTCAGCGACCGCGAAAAACCCAGGACTCCGAGCGACCTTGATAGTGGTTGTTAGAAAATAATTATAAATTTGTTTAGTTTTTCATCTTTTAACTTTTTCATGAGATATATTTCCAATAGCGCAATAAGATAAGTGGTTTGCATGTATTTCGTTGCTTTCCGTTCGTCCGTTTCTGTAAATGCTTTTTAGAACCCGTAAAAAAGGGAGGAACGCTCGAGCTCTAAAAGGAGGAGTCTAGAGTTATGATTTACAGCTTTCCGCGTTTTGATGTTTTGGAATGATGTGCAGATATACTTCGTATCTATTTGTTTGTTTGTATGCGTTGTTTTGTCCACGTAATCTAAGTATTGATATACCGAATTGTGAAAGACATGCATAACATTAAATAAGAATTTGGGAACATGTGAGTCCTCGGCATATTTTACGTCATAAAATGAATCCTTGGTTGAAAAACTATCTCAACACATTTTCGTTTCTTTGCCCATGAGCTAAGAAAAAATAATAATAACCCCTAGTCTATCCTACACCGTTCTCCAGAATATAAACGTAAAGAGTCACAATCCTATTTCAACCTGGAAAGACCCCATAATGCATGTATAGGGTCGAAAGAAAAAACGGTGAAAATCATTATGGACGCGGCGAGCCGTTGGGGTCCGGCGGAGCAGAGAACCGTTAGCTTATCATCCCGCGAGGAGAGACCGCAGCAGACGACCTCATTCCCAAGCAGGAATCTTTTGGTTGATAACAGCGACGCAGAATGGGGATGATAACGATTAAAGTTATGATGGCAAGACAAAGATAAAGAGTCAACGATAACATTGCTAAAATGTGCGGGTAAACGTCAATGGCAATAGCGATAATGATAACATGAACCAACATGATAATAGCAATAGTACTGGCAAATATGGCTTTGATGATCACACTAGTGATAATGATATATGATGAATATACTGATTATAATGGTAATATCAATAGTAACAATTTGAATTATATAATAGTAGTAATGAGATCGTAGTAATGAGAATGACAAGAGCAAACGGTAATTATAGTAAAGGGAATATTGGCAACACTTGTTACGGTTTGCAATTTGATAGTTGACATCCCTCACCACGACCAGTGTAGTTATGATTCATCCAAGACATACACAGTGCCGTAAAGAAGAGATTGAAACCAGCCATTCTCATTAGTCTGTGATAATCTACAACAATAAACAGCAGCGTCAAAGTTGAAATCCGCGATCCCCCAAAACACGAAAAAATATTGTATGATGTCTGCTCTCTGTGGTGTTTAGTGCTTTAATGACATATCCCCCTTAAAGGGGATTTGTTATTCATCTTGTACTTTCGGGGTGCGTTGCTCAAATATTGCATTCCTAAACCAGTAAAAGTAGGATTTCTGTAAACAGTAGTGTACAGTCGACCGTTTTCTTTGGCGATCAGCGAGCCAAGAAAGGAAAGCTGGTTTTCTTTTTCAATTTCAAATGTAAACTTAGCGTTATGATGTTGGTCATTGAGGTAGGCTAGAAACAGTTCTACATGTGATGGATCTTTGAACAAGAGAAAAGTATCATCTATGTATCTTATGTAAAACAAAAAGGTTAAAATTCCATACAGCAGTTCTTTTCATAACATAAAAAGCATTAGCATAGCAAGGCCAAAGGGGGAACCCATATAAACCATCGATCTGAGTATACAAGCGGTTGTCAAAAGTAAACTGAATCTTTTGTGACAATATTTAAAAGAGAATTCAACTTTATTTTCTAATTTTGAAAGGGACTGAGCAGTTGTATCATTTGTNTGATATATTATGTTTAATTTTGTCTTATTTATTATTGTTTGTCATTTATTTGTTATTTACTTAATACCATATTTATTATCTCCTTATTATCATTTCCTTATTTGTGATTAATTACATTTTGTGTTTCTCTGTTTATTCTCTTCTTATTTTTCATTTTCTTTTTCATTTCTCCATTTATTACCTGTTATTTTACCGTCCTTTTTTATGTCTTATTTTTCATTCTGTTTTGTATTTCTCTATTTATTATCCGTCACCTTTTACGTCCCTTTTTATGTCTTATTTTTCATTCTGTTTTGTATTTCTCTATTTATTATCCGTCACCTTTTACGTCGCTTTTTATGTCTTATTTCTCATTCTGTTTTATATTTCTCTATTTATTATCCGTTACCTTTTGCGTCCCTTTTTATGTCTTATTTTTCATTCTGTTTTGTATTTCTCTATTTATTATCCGTCACCTTTTACGTCGCTTTTTATGATCTCGATTACATTTCTCTGTTTTCGTTTCTCCCGCAGCGACGACACGGAGAGGATTTTCGATGAAGATCCTCGCATCGTGTTGACTCCCTTGAAGAATCGCGAGGAATCTACGAGGAAGGCAGGAAGAGAGAGGGAAGGGAGGAAAGAGAGAGAAGAGAGAGGAAGAGGAAGAGAGGAGAAGGAGAGGAAAGGAAGAGAGGAAGAAGAGAGAGGAAGGGAGGAAGAGAGGAGAAGAGAGAGGAAAGGAGGAAGAGAGGAGAAGAGAGAGGAAGAGAGAAGAAGAAGAGAGAAAGCGAGGAAAGAGAGAGGAAGGGAGGAAGCGAAAAGCCGAAAGAGGAAGAGAAGAGGGATGGAGGAAGAGCAGGAAGAGAGAGAGAAAGCGAGGAAAAGAGAGTGAGACAAAGCGAGGAAGAGAGAGAGTGAGGAAGAGAAAAGAGGAAGAGTAGGTCAGGAAGAAGAAGAGAAAAATATGAGACAGTGAAAAAGGTAGAGATAAGAAGAGAGAAAGGAAGA